CAACTAACTACAAAATTATTATTGTGTTTCAGTTAGAATATACCATTATTTGCTTTAGCATCATGTGCTTTGCACACCGGCTAGATCTAATTAATTATTCTTTTCTTCTGTCTTCTATCCCTAATGGAACACAGGCCCTCAACCAACTCACGCCAGGTCGTTCTATCCTTTGCAGCTCACCCCATGTCCTCCCCATCTTTATACTTTACTCTCTAGCTCTCTTCTCCATTAGTTTTTGGGATGCCTGTATTTCTATGCCCTTATAACTAATGCTAAAATGAAAAGTTTTTTTTAAAAATTGTTAAATGCCTAGGAAACAGTTTACCCCAGTAGCGGAAACGGTACTCGTCTGCAGTCAGCTACATCGCTTAGCATCATTTCTAGTAATCGTTATGTTCGCCCCCTCGCTTTCCGTTCTGCCTCTCGTCTCCCTATGTTTCATTCACTGTGTATTGCGGGTGCTGAATGCTGATGGGCCTAGCCTAATGCCAGACTCTCTAGCTGCTGCACTCTGGCAGTCGGGATCTGCTGCAGTCTGCCCCATCGTCACCCCGTTTTCAGCGTCAGTAGGCAAATAGCGCATTGGTTTTCTGTGCTGTTATGTTCAAACACGTAACCTTCGGCCGTGTCCCGTTTTTGGCTGGTGATATTTGTTTTCATTTGCAAGTGTTTCAAATATAGTTGCACTTATCATTTTAATAGACACAGCGGCATTTTGTGCTATAAGGTTAACAGAAAGAAGCGCAGGATTTATTGTAGCCAGAACGTCGTAGCTTGCAGACATATTGCTTTGCATATATGTTTTGTTCGTGTTACTTAGCAGAAGAATGAATACACAAGATGCTGCAAAATGCGCTTTCAATGGCGAAAAATGAGTGCGTACTCATTTAGTGGGCTTTATGATAAGCAGTGGGCTAAACATATCCAGGATTTAGTTTGTTGCAAGGTAGCTGTGTAGCTGCAAACCTCTGGGTTTCTACTTCAGTGCCCTTACTAAGGATAATGTTGCCAAATTCACGAGGAAACTAGGTTAATGACACAGTTTCGAACGAAATAAGCTTTTTCTTCGGCTCCATGTTCAATTTTCGACCATAGGCCGTCTGCTAATTAAGTTATCATTAATACACATTAAATCTTTAGCCATCTTCTTTCTGCAGCTTCTTCTTTTTCTCCGCAATTCTTGTCTAATTTGTCATCGTGTTTTTAGGCCAACGTCTAACCTGTTGTTATTTTTTTTAGTTATATTATTAATATATTTTCTTAATGTATGTCTTATACAGCTTTACATCTCTTCTCCGTCCCATGGAGTTAGATTCATTCTTATTCCGTGCAGAGGCACCCAGTTAATGTTTTATAATTTGTTAGTGCATACTTCAGTCGTTCTCATTGTTTGTTTTGTGTAGCCAGTGAAATAAAAATAATTAGGGTTAGATACGTTTTTAAAAACATAATTCAATATGCCTGCCCACCCCCCCCCCAACCACGTTTTTCTCTTTGAAAGAGTTAGGGGGTCTGTCCTCTGCACATGACAGCAGGTGACAACACCCTGGTTTGGCTGTTAACAAGTGCCCTAATCAGGGCTTTTGTCGAAAAAAAAGAGGCCAGTACTCATCATAAAATGTTTTTAAAAAAGTGCCAGTAATGACAACGGAGTGTCTAAAAAACAGTGGTGGTACCCACCCCAAAGTGTCTATATAAGTGCCAGTACTCACCATAGAATGTCTAAACAAGTGCCGGTATTCACCAGAAGTGTTTAAAGAAGTGCAAGTACTGACCACAGTATGTAAACTACAGCAGCGCAGAAAAAAAAGATGCCACTACTAAGAACCTCCAGGAAAAAACAACCACCATGGCCCTAGTTATAACTTTTTAGGAGACTGAACAAGGTATGTGGAATTGGCCACGTTGACCCAGGATAAGACTCTTGAAGTCTCAGATGTGATAAAACTTCATAAACCAGCCCAGAGAAGAATAAGCAGGCAGATGGGTTAAGGGGCATTACACCATTAGAGGATAAGGTAGAGTCAGTGTTCTTCGTGATTCTTAGATTTTTGCTAATAATGTTTTGTAATATTTCAGTTTTTTTTCTTTCTCTCCTATCATATTATTCATATTTATACAAGTAAATTGTTAGAATTTGTACAGAAATAAATTTATGGGTATTGATGGGCACTTATAAAAGTACGGGAAAGAAGTAGAGATCAGATGACAAACCAGATGATATATAGAATGAACACTAGTGCGGTCATACTGGGATATGTGTACAGCTTGTTTTTGTGTGTGTGTGTGGTCGTAGTGCATGTATTTTTCTGATTACAAACACATGACAGTACATTTTTTCTGTTATTGACTGACATCTGTATGTACTGGCACTTCTATTGGTGCTTTTACTTTCATAGCATTTTGCCTAGTGACCTTCATGAGTCCATTCACATTTACAGACTTTCACTGTTTGATCCACAGCTTGTGGTTGGCTCTTGTATGGATTCCAACTATTGTTACTAATCACTCATGATTTTCACAGTGTTTTTGTAAGCTTTGAAGCTGCCATAGTCTAGCAACTAGTCGCTTGACTGCAGATCAATGATCATGGTTTCAAACTGAATAGAGATGGGCTTTTTCAAAAAGGACCTTAGCTTCTAAGTTGACCCAGTCTTAAATAGGTACCAGATTTGATTTGATTTGATTTGATTCAAGAACCGACATCACAGCACTCGGGGCATTCCCATAAGCGCTCCATCCCCATCTTCAGCAGCCAGCGAAGAGTTCCAATACTAATGGTGCCAGTAGCATTCAGATTAAATCCGTCTTGCCTTACCTCTGAGCCTCGAGCATCTGCCAGAACCTCTCGTCACTCCCCGCTGCATCAATCTCACCAGACTGTGGCGATCCATCTGCTCCTCCGAATTGTACACGCTCTCCCACAAGGTACTAACCACATCTGCCTTATCATGTATCAGTATTCCACTAAGTTGTGCAGAGCCAGCCAGTCTGTCCGCCTGTTCATTTCCCAACACACCGGCGTTACCTGGTGAAAAAATCCAGACAATACTCCTCACTCGTGTCGTCCGCAGCGAAGCATGCCACTCTGCACGAAACATACCTATTCTGATCTTCCTCAGCATGCTTTCTGAATCAGTTACAATCACGATGTGTGTGTGTGTCATGTTCTCTAGCCAGCGGAAAGCTGCAGTGACCGCCTCCACCCCCATTCTTAAGCTAGATGTTGTGGTATCATATGCTAGTCTCTCCTGCACCAAACATCGACCATTAACTTTTGCTAAGAAGCCCCAAGCACTTTTTTTGCCTCTTGACACTGAACTGTCTGTGTAAATGATCAAATCCTCTGAGCGAGCATTGTCTTGAATTAATCACTGAATTTCCACCTCTGTGGCACCTGCTGGCCAATCTCTGCATTCCCGGCTCAGCGTGATTATGACTCTACACAAGTCTGACTGTTCAGGTGGCACTTTGACCCACTCCTGTCCTCGCCTAATGTTCTCAAGGATGCAAACCTGTCTGATTGTGTCTTCTGCCTGAGCCATCTATGACCTCCCTCTTATCAGCCGCTGACCCTTAACTGCACCCAGAGCTTCATGCAGAGGGTGGTCTGTGTCATCTACCCTGAGATATGACTTCACCTGCAGCACCTTGTGCCTATCTGCAACCGTCGACAAACCAAGAATGTATCGCATACACACCACTTGGGTGTCTCTGGTGCAACCCAGAATGACCCGCATAGCCTCGTTCTGTATGCGCTCTAGTTTGTCCATCTGACTCTTTGAGACGGTAAGCAGTCCCAGGCCATAATCCACCACTGACAGGATCAGGTGCTGATATAGTGTGAAAAGCATTCTCTGCTCTATGTCAATTGCAGCCATATTCTTAAGTGCACTAAGTCCTTTTTGGCATCTCGTCACAACGCTCTTGACATGGTCCTTAAATGACAGGCTCCTGTCAAATGTAATTCCCAGATACTTCAGTTTGCTCTCTCTGTTGACGTTTCTACCATCTATCGTGAGACTTGGGACATTAGTTTTAACGATTCTGTTGTCCAGAGAACACCACAAAACCGACGCCTTTTCCGGGTGGACGACAGCCCTCATTTCTGTCACCACTCAGTCACTTTGACTACTGTCGCTTATAGCCCCCCGGGCTGTTTGTTCCCTCTCTTCCCCCTGCCTATATGCAAGTATATCATCCGCAAAAGGTACCAGATAAAGTTCTAGGAAGTAAAGGCGGCTGACGTGATGCTGACCACATCACCCACTGAATGCCAGTTGGTCTATAAAATATAGGTCTAGCCTTTATGCCCAATACACCTGAAGGCAAGGGTCCCTTATGTAAGCTCGAGAAACAGAAACTTTCTATTTCACAGTTAATAAATACTTTAAAAAGGTTGTTAGCAGGTGACATGTTAATTAGTTACTTAGTTAGTCAACAGATTATCCTTATTGTACATCAAACCATTTGCTCCATAAATGCTCAGATTGCCTCCTCAGTAAATCCCGCGTCTTGTAGTGGCTGATGACACCAGTCCTATATTAGTTTCTTATTCTTCTTTGGCTTCCTGCATAGTGCTCTTGTTTGGCCATGCCCCTTTTAACTTGCTGTTCCTGCTGTCTGGTAATGGTTGCAGATTCACAGTCATCGCTTGATTCTTCCAAACATCTCACTTCTCCTAGAGCATTCAGTATATCAGCATGGTCCATGGCACGTCTGCCCGCCATGATACATTTCGCAAAGCTGCATAATACACATATCTGTTGTTTTATTGAGATATCATAAATTGTATTTCTTACGAAATTAAATGGTTACTGTCCAGACTTATTGAGGTTTTAAAAAATGTATGATGTCGACATATAAATGAACAGAAAAGTTACCAGCATGACTGAATGACAGACATTTTGCTGTTTTAGTGGATTTCTAAATTTGGCTACATCCATCGTAGCAGTAAAGTTGCTGTATTAAGTTATTAATTAAGGAAGTAATAAAGTGAAATGGAGTCTCCTGTCGATGAAGAGCTCATACACCTTCGAGAAGCAGAAGATGAAGATAACATAAAGCTGAAACATGCAGACAGTGATAGTGTGAATAGTATTCCCCCACCTCCACTTGTGACTGGCATGGTGGTGCCTGTAGCTAGCCAGGAATCATGTGATATCTCAGAAACAGAGAAGATGAAGCTTACTCAAGAGGTACAAGATGGTCAAGAACAAAATTGGCAGCAAGAGAAGACAGAACATGCAGTGGGTAAGCACACTTGAATTTGTTGTTCATCATTTAACAGCTTAGCTAGATGTAACCAGGTAATCATGGCTGTCCATCTTCATAGCTCCAATCCTGTGCCAACAAAAACCACTGTGTCCGTCACTGTCCCTTGGGAAAAAAATGTGCACAGACTACATTCTCCGTAAAGCCAGGATAATATACATGCATAAGGCATCTGTCAGAAGTGCCAACACAAACAATCCGACACAAGAAATTAGATGAAAGCAGCAGTTACAATGGATCAGTAGTAGAAATAATTCACATAAAGCACCACAAGATATCTCTAGCAACAGGCTATTCTAAATCTGCACTTCACAACACAAGCCATGCTGTGCACCATCTCAAAGCATTTCAAGATTTCAAATGAAATCAGCGGCACACAGTGTTGCGGCATGCACTTAATTCAGTAGCTGGGCAATGGAGCTATAACCATTTAATATAAATATGAGAGAAATGCAAGAGTTTACCATTGTCATAAGCAAGAATTTTTGTTTTAGGGGAAGGCCATGGCTAAAAACAGTAAAACCGCAGAGAGAAGGAAACGGATCATTTTTCGCATTAACTAGTAGAGTCCCTTTAATTTAAAACAGATACAGTGAAAGGTATCTATCTCGTTTAAGTGCCAGTGGGGCGTATTGGGACTTTGACTGTCACCATCATGCCGATAAATTTAGTTTGCCATCTTGTCTGATTAGCATTGTCCCAGACCAAATCTGTGTCTTGTAAAAAAGCCAGGTATTTATCGCAGTATATATGGATTTGAACTAAAGATCTTTGGGTGGGTAGGCCAGTATTATAGCCTCTGCAGTACCACAGTTCACGAAGGAAGATGTGATAGAGAGAAAAAGAACAATTATGTTTACTAGAGTGAGTGTTATCACCATGCTTCGAGCCAAAGATCACGCATTATCCTAGAAACTGAACATTAGATGTGCATACGACACCTAACAGCATTAAGCAAAGAAAAAAACAATAGACAGATAGATGGAGTGTTATCACCAGTATAGTGGTTTCAGAATTAATCACCATTTACTGGGCATGCCATTGTATATAAATTGGCTGGTACAGCACGTACTATGGGTACTGCTTTTGCAAAAAAAAACAACAACTGCAGCCTGGTGTTAGTACGTATGCATTGAAAACAATGTTTGCACACATACAATTATTTAACATCAACAGGAGTTCACAAACTGCCTACTCTCTTGGGTAACTGCATATGCTGAATTTTACTGTATGTGAATCAAGACATAATAGTTATTAGAAATATATATAAACATAAATTTATTGGCAAATAACGGTCCAGTATGTCAGTTCAGCAAGTGTGTGAGTGGAAAAGGAAGTTTCAAAATGGCATGACCTCTACGACAGTCTGTTCATGACCCGGCCAGGTACACCAAGTAGTACCCTAGAGTTGATTGCAGCGATTAAAGGCCTTGTACAGGACTGGCAGTCATGCGTCACCATGCTAGATCTTCAGAAGATGATTATTTTCTATAAGTCTTCCTCATTCACTGATCCAACAATGGATAATAGAGAGCTGCTCCTCTTTGTTACATATCAAAAGTGGGGCAGCCGTCTTTAAACTTATTATGCTATGATGCTGTGTGCTTAACACTCTTGACATCCTTAAAAACACTATTGACAGGTTACAAGGCAGTGTTATGGTTATTGTAATTTCTGTCACACTTTTAAGGTTTTCAGTTGAAGTTCCTGATATATATATATATATATATATATATATATATATATATATATATATATATATATATATATATATATATATATATATATACACACACACACACACACACACGTGCACACACACACACACACAAACGTGTGCGCACACACACACAGTCAGTAAGTTAGTACTTCTTTGTTTTCCAGATGATAGTATTACATTGTTGTATGGGGAGGCATGGGCAGGGAATGACAATCTGTGTTGATAGCGAGGGTCACCAGCAAGAGTAAAAAAATAAAATCTTCCACAATGTTCATGGATTTCAGGGCCAGTAATGCATCACTCACGTATTTCTGATTAATGATCAGCTTTGAACTAACCTGTTTGCTGCGGTGGGAGTTGCCATGGTGTAGTGGCTAGGTGCTAGTCTGTGGATCGGAAGGTCGTGGGTTTAGGTCCTGATGGAGCCAGACTTTTCAAAAAAGGTGTTGGCTCCCAGGTCTGCCCAACCAGCCTTGAGTGGGTACCAGGTGCAGTCCTGTTAAATAAAGGCGGCCAGCATGATGCTGACCACATCACCTACCAAGTGCTGTTTGGTCTGTAAAATATAGGTCTGGCCCTATATGCTGAGTACGCCTGAGTACGCATGGAAAAGGGTCCTTTACTTTACTTTTTTTTGTTGCAGCCATGTTATCCCTTGTTCATATTCCCCTCTTGATGTGTTCCTTCGGTGATACATGTCATCCTGTTGCCCTGAATATCAGTTCGGTATCATTCATGGCCTGCTTTCACACATCCGTATATCATAGTAGAGACAGTCCTGAGATCTAGTGTCTGTCTGTAATTCACCATCTTCTTCATAACCTTTTTCAGCTGTAAACTCTGGCGGAAGGTTCTGGTTGCTCATCCACCTCTGAACTTTGGTCTTGTTCCAGAAACTAAACATTGTATGCACATCTGTTTTACAGATCTGGCTTATTTGTATGCAGGCAGTTGGTTCCTTGCCTCTCAGCAGATGCACTCTGACTTCGAAGGATATCCGCTGACTCCTACGACATGCTTGTCGGAGCCTATTCTTGTTTCCCCCAAAGTGGGGTCCGGAACCTTCATAAGAAGGATAAGTGTGTTTGTTCATGCATGTGCATACACACATGCTGCATGCATATTTGTGTTCTTTACTGCATGCATGTGTGTGTACATAAGTGGTATAGAATGAAGAGTGCATGGCACAATGCTTGCAGGTGAATTAAAGTAAAACCATGCATTCTTTATTGTGAGATTTGTGGACTATGAGAAAACGTTTGTGATATAGAACCCCTTTGGAAAATGATGAGCTGCGAATCCACAAAAAATCATGAACTCTCTAAAGACTGCATATTATCATCATCAGTTTCCACTTTTGCTAATAAGCAAAACACTGATAGATGAGATCACAGGTGTAGGTAATGTTGTGGTTTTCACAGATTAATTAATAAGTGATTCAGGGCAAGCGAAGTACAGTGAACTCGTCGAGGGGTAAATCTGTCAATGAGATGAGTGGTGCCTTTTCTGTTACAGTGAACAGCTTGGCAATTGAAACCATTGCTGTAACAAGAGCATTGGCATGGCAGGGTACTCCAAAGAACACACTTGCATGCGTAATAAGTAATCCAATACACTTGCTAAAAAATAAAAAAAAATCACAACTAGCTTTCTCAGACAAGATCGGGCTGTCTCATTTAAAGCATCACAAATGGCTTGTCTGACCTGCCTTTTTTGTGCTAGGCCATGTGGGTATTGGAGATGATTGTGCAGACTATCAGGCTGGCATTGTGGTTTCTATGACTGTAGTGAACGTGAGCAGTGTTATCCAAACCGTGTCTTTTTCCTAATTTTTTTGTCTTGAGTGTGTTGTAAAACAGGAGGAACACAGATAGATAAGAAGAAAACACATTTATCACAATATCTTCTTGTTTGTTTAATTACATAAATATATTTCGATTGGAGGGGCGGGCAGGAAAAGGGGGGGGGGGGGGCTGCAAATTATTTGCAATTAAAAAGAAAAGTTTAGGACCCTTGCTGTAGCAAATTGCATACGTTCACATACTGATATTTTTCTGGACTAGCGGTTTCGATACTTTCTTATTAGCTGACCACAAACAGGGTAAATCCACAGGTCACAGGACAGTCAGATACTTCAGGGAGTGGAAACGTGCTATAGCACACAAAACACGGAAAACATGAACAGCCTGCCGCTTACACTGTTTTTGTCGAAAAAGAAAGCCCTTCCTGGAACTCTGCGTGCACTTCCAGATCGCCTGTGTGATTTTGTTTGATTGAAATGGTATAGACTTCTGTGTTTGATAGGTTTGATAGGACTCGACCAGAGGAATTGATATTTCTTTGTCTTATAGTCTGTTGACACTTCACTACTATTTTGCCGATTATGAAATTTGCAACATTTTGTCCTGTAGGTATTTTAAAGTTTTGAATTTATATCACTTTAATTAAGTAATACTTTCTGACATCTGGTACAACTGAACAAAAATGTGTGTTTTGCAAAGGTAAATTTGGGAAGTGTGCTGTTCATGAATTCTGTTCAGATTCATAGTGCACATATTAAGTATGTATGTTTTGTGTGTTGTCAGAACATTGTTTTATCCTCACTTGTCAGATGGTGAATAAAGTCTTTAAGGTCTGAACTGATCATATGTTTGTAGATCTCCCTCCCAGTATCTCCAATGGCCAGTTTAACCAGCTGTTATACAGATTATGAGCTCCCCCTCCACACACAAAAACCCACAATAGTTTTTAAACTAGAGAGTCCCCATGTGGACTCCAGGGCCCCGTTGTGAGGAAAACAAGCATAGACCCACTGCCTCCCCAACAAGCATAGACCCACTGTCTCCCCAACAAGCATAGACCCACTGTCTCCCCAACAAGCATAGACCCACTGCCTCCCCAACAAGCATAGACCCACTGTCTCCCCAACAAGCATAGACCCATGGCCTCCCCAACAAGCATAGACCCACTGCCTCCCCAACAAGCATAGACCAACTGTCTCCCCAACAAGCATAGACCCACTGTCTCCCCAACAAGCATAGACCCATGGCCTCCCCAACAAGCATAGACCCAATGTCTCCCCAACAAGCATAGACCCACTGTCTCCCCAACAAGTTAAGACCGACTGCCTCTCCAACAAGTTAAGACCCACTGTCTCCCCAACAAGTTAAGACCGACTGTCTCCCTAACAAGTTAAGACCCACTGTCTCCCCAACAAGTTAAGACCGACTGTCTCCCCAAAAAGCATAGACCCACTGTCTCCCCAACAAGCATAGACCCACTGCCTACCCAACAAGCATAGACCCACTGTCTCCCCAACAAGCATAGACCCACTGTCTCCCCAACAAGCATAGACCCACTGTCTCCCCAACAAGTTAAGACCGACTGTCTCCCCAACAAGTTAAGACCGACTGTCTCCCCAACAAGCATAGACCCATTGTCTCCCCAACAAGCATAGACCCATGGCCTCCCCAACAAACATAGACCCACTGCCTCCCCAACAAGCATAGACCAACTGTCTCCCCAACAAGCATAGACCCATGGCCTCCCCAACAAGCATAGACCCAATGTCTCCCCAACAAGCATAGACCCACTGTCTCCCCAACAAGTTAAGACCGACTGTCTCCCCAACAAGTTAAGACCCACTGTCTCCCCAACAAGTTAAGACCGACTGTCTCCCCAACAAGTTAAGACCCACTGTCTCCCCAACAAGTTAAGACCGACTGTCTCCCCAAAAAGCATAGACCCACTGTCTCCCCAACAAGCATAGACCCACTGTCTCCCCAACAAGCATAGACCCACTGTCTCCCCAACAAGTTAAGACCGACTGTCTCCCCAACAAGTTAAGACCGACTGTCTCCCCAACAAGCATAGACCCACTGTCTCCCCAACAAGCATAGACCCACTGCCTCCCAAACAAGCATAGACCCACTGTCTCCCCAACAAGCATAGACCCACTGTCTCCCCAACAACCATAGACCCACTGTCTCCCCAACAAGCATAGACCCACTGTCTCCCCAACAAGCATAGACCCACTGTCTCCCCAACAAGCATAGACCCACTGTCTCCCCAACAAGCGTAGACCCACTGTCTCCCCAACAAGCATAGACCCACTGTCTCACTAACAAGCATAGACCCACTGTCTCCCTAACAAGCATAGACCCACTGTCTCCCCAACAAGCATAGACCCACTGTCTCCCCAACAAGTTAAGACCCACTGTCTCCCCAACAAGCATAGATCCACTGTCTCCCCAACAAGCATAGACCCACTGTCTCCCCAACAAGCATAGACCCACTGTCTCCCCAACAAGCATGTCATAAAAGTAAACTAATTAAGGGCTACCTTTGAAGTCAGAGTGTGTCTGCCTGGGAGACAAGGAATCAACAGTCTGTATCAAAGTAAATCAGATCTGTAAAATGGATGTGCATGCAATATTTAGGTTCTGGAGCAAAACTACTCTAGAGGTGGACAAACAACCAAAACTTTCTGCCTGAGTTTACAGCTGGTAAATGTGAAGAAGAAGAAGAAGAGGAGACTGGAGAGGTTAGGTCTGATGGTTCTAGTCACGTTAGGAGACCTAATGACGTTATGAGACCTAATGACGAGAGTGACCTCCCTTCCCATTGATGCCTCGATCTACTATGTTGCAGGGTTGTATCCTAGGTCGCATGACTGTATGCAGCGTATAATAGAGGCTGCATACAGTCGTGAGACATAGGCTGACGTTGTGGAGTAGGGAACGTTGGGGTTAGGCCCAGTTGTACATGTTTTGGGACCATTATAAGAGCTCACAGCATAGAAGACGCTGACAAGGAGTAAAATATGACTCACTATGCCTGAAACCCCTGCGACATAGTAGACCGCTATACCAGATCGAGGTATCAATGGGAATTGAGGTCACTCTCGTTGTTGTCTCTTATCGCGATATGTACTGATCTTACTTTCATTGTTTGCAGTTTTAAGTGGTATGGTTTGTTTAATTTACAGGTCAACATGCCAATTGCTGTGATAAACTTTTGAAATGCCTGGGCTCCATTCCTTGTCCTTCGCTGCTGTCATGGATAATGTTGCTTCTGGGTATTAGTACTCTAACAGGAAGTCTTCTTGTTGGCGTTTGGAGAACACGTGCTCTGCTCAAAGATGATTCTCTGTAAGTTGAACATTGTTCTGTAAAAATACACTATTCTTAGTTCTAATTTTGTATACCTACTCACAGACAAGGAACAGTATTAATCCACTGCTAGACTGTCCACAATGAGTAGAGCACTAGAACAGAAAATAACTGCCTGTGAAATGTGCTGTCTCCATAAGGTAACTAACATCACATGAAGGGACGGGGTAATGAATGCCAGCATTAGAGAGAAGGATGGAATAAGAATTATATTGACAGACAAAGAATGAAGTGGTTCAGCCATCTGGTGAGGATGCAGCCAGACCAAACTGCATATGATATTTTTTACAGCCGAACATCTGGGAAGAAGATGGTTGGAAGACCAAGAAAGAGATGGATAAATGTTGGAGCAGAAACCTGCAAAAAGATGAACAAATCTATCACCGAAGCCACCTGAGAAGTACAAGACAAATACAGGAAACCACAGCACTGGGCTACAACCTGGTATCAGTGAAACAATAAAAGCAAAAGTAGAAGAAGACCATTCACATAAGTATATAGTGATTGAGTTTATTTGATTCAAGAACCGACATCACAGCACTCGGGGCATTCCCATAAGCACCCCGTCCCCATCTTCAGCAGCCAGCGAAGAGTTCCGATACTAATGGTGCCAGTAGCATTCTGATTAAACGTCTGTCATGCCTTTCCTCTGAGCCTCGAGCATCTGCCAGAAACTCTCATCACTCCCCGCTGCATCAATCTCACCAGACTGTGGTGATCCATCTGCTCCTCTGAACTGTACATGCTTTCCCACAAGGCACTAACCACATCTGCCTTATCATGTATCGGTATTCCACCAAGTTATGCAGAGCCAGACAGTCTGTCCGCCTGTTCATTTCCCAAAGTATATAGTGAAATGCAGACTATGGTGGTATAGTGGTTAGTGCTTTGATCTACTCTGTCGCCCTGCATGCTAGTTGGTTAAACAAGCTGCGAGGCGACTAGATGACAAACTTGTGAGCAGAGTTCACGCTCAGGGGTAGGCAGAAAAGCCACATATTTCCCAGAGTTACGGTATCTAATATGGAATCAAGGCCAAAGAGTTGCGATACCCATAGTACTGAGCCAGCAGGTTTAAAACTCATGGTTTCTGGATTTAAAAAAATATCTACTCTGCCACCATTGAGGTGCCATTTTCCACATAATCTGGAACTTGATACAGCCTGATAAAATAAGAACTCAGAATTTTTTATTGGTAAAGGCTTAGGTGTTGAGAATGCGGATTGTAATGCCAGGTTTGATCTCAACTGCAGGCGATTTGGCAGCAGATCATCTTCTGCTTATTTTTGACAGTACTGAGAGCTGACTGTTCAGGAAGCAGTGGCAAACTATTTAAAGTAAAATTTGCCTAGGAAAACCACAACAGCCAAAAAATGCTGGGCTTGGTTTTGCAGCATCCTGTTATGGATATGCAACTAACTTTGAAAAAAAAAAAAATATATATATATATATATATATATATATATATATATATATATATATATATATATATATATATATATATATATATATATATATATATATATATATATATATATATATATATATATATATATATATATATATATATATATATATATATAAACCTTACATCATGTTAACTAGTTAATTTATACAGTGCAGAACTCAACGGGGATACAAAAAATGGTTTTTCATATCAGAAATTTCGCTTAAGCAAAGAAGAAGAAGACTGGATCAGCCTGAGAGCTAGTTTATTACAGTAAACCCCTGTGTGGGTAATGGGATCCCGTTGTTTGGGGGAAACAAGAACAGACCCACTGCCTTCCTCACAAGCCTGTCGTAGGAGTTGACTAATTAGAGGATTACTTTGAAGTCAGAGTGCATCTGCCTGAGAGGCAAGGAACTGACTGTCTGCATAATTAGGCCAGATCTGTAAAACAGGTGCACACACAAAACTTAGGTTTTTGAGCAAAGTTAAAGTCTAGAAATGGACGGACAACCACGACTTTCTGGCAGGGTTTACAACTGGTGATCACAAACAAACAATATACATAGTTTGAAAAAAAAAAGGTTTTTCACGCCATTAGGTATATTGGGCATACAGTGCTAGACCTGTATTTTATAGCCCAGTCTGCATGCTGTGGTTGATGCAATCAGCATCATGCTGACCACCTTTACTTCCCAGGACTTTACCTGGTACATATTTAAGACTGGATCGACTTGGGAGCCAAGGTTAATAAATAATCATACTCTAAGCGGATTTGAACCCATGACCTTCAGGCCCACATGCGAGTGTTTAGCTGCAACAGCACAAAGGATCCCAGTTTATTACAGCAGCTCAGAAAAAAAAAATGATGCCTAAAATAATGGTGCAGGTACTTTTGCATACTGTCAGAGTGCAAGTACTGTTACATACTACCAGAGTGCAGGTACTGTTGCATACTGCCAGAGTGCAAGTCCTGTTACATACTACCAGAGTGCAGGATCTGTTGCACACTGCCAGAGTGCACGTACTGTTGCATACTGCCAGAGTGCAGGTTCTGTTGCATACTGCCAGAGTGCAGGTTCTGTTGCATACTGCCAGAGTGCAGGTTCTGTTGCATACTGTCAGAGTGCAAGTACTGTTACATACTACCAGAGTGCATGATCTGTTGCATACTGCATATTGCCAGAGTGCACGTACTGTTGCATACTGCCAGAGTGCAGGTACTGTTGCATACTGCCAGCGTGCAGGTTCGGTTGCATACTGCCAGAGTGCAAGTCCTGTTACATACTACCAGAGTGCAGGATCTGTTGCACACTGCCAGAGTGCACGTACTGTTGCATACTGCCAGAGTGCAGGTTCTGTTGCATACTGCCAGAGTGCAGGTTCTGTTGCATACTGCCAGAGTGCAGGTTCTGTTGCATACTGTCAGAGTGCAAGTACTGTTACATACTACCAGAGTGCATGATCTGTTGCATACTGCATATTGCCAGAGTGCACGTACTGTTGCATACTGCCAGAGTGCAGGTACTGTTGCATACTGCCAGCGTGCAGGTTCGGTTGCATACTGCCAGAGTGCAGGAACTGTTGCATACTGCCAGAGTGCAGGTACTGTTGCACACTGCCAGAGTGCAGGAACTGTTGCATACTGCCAGAGTGCATGATCTGTTGCATACTGCATATTGCCAGAGTGCACGTACTGTTGCATACTGCCAGAGTGCAGGAACTGTTGCATACTGCCAGAGGGCAGGTACTGTTGCATACTGCCAGAGTGCAGGTACTGTTGCACACTGCCAGAGTGCAGGTACTGTTGCACACTGCCAGAGTGCAGGTACTGTTGCACACTGCCAGAGTGCAGGTACTGTTGCATACTGCCAGAGTGCAGGTACTGTTGCATACTGCCAGAGTGCAGGTACTGTTGCACACTGCCAGAGTGCAGGTACTGTTGCACACTGCCAGAGTGCAGGTACTGTTGCACACTGCCAGAGTGCAGGTACTGTTGCATACTGCCAGAGTGCAGGTACAGTTGCACACTGCCAGAGTGCAGGTACTGTTGCATACTGCCAGAGTGCAGGTACAGTTGCATACTGCCAGAGAAAAAAAAGGTTTAGTTGTCACCGTTGTTTAAAAAAACATGTTTTAACAGATTTATAATGTAATGTAATCCATTTTCTAGATTGTGGTTCATGGAATACACGATCATTGGTGTGGTAGTTTATACTGTAATGTAATCCATTTTCTAGATTGTGGTTCATGGAATACACAATCATTGGTGTGGTAGTTTATAATGTAATGAAATCCATTTTCTAGATTGTGGTTCATGGAATACACAATAATTTTTGTGGTAGTTTATAATGTAATGTAATCCATTTTCTAGATTGTGGTTCATGGAATACACAATCATTGGTGTGGTAGTTAGCATGTTTGTTATTGGCACCTTGCTGTTAACTGCTGGCCATTTGTCATCTGAGCCTACTAGTCGACGAGTGTTCAGCTCATTAACCAAGAACCGTTGTGCACAAGGTCTCAACATATTTGTGAGTATATTCATTTATTGTTTGTGATTTATATTTTTATTTACCCATATTTAAACACAAATGGTTGTATTTCACATAGTTATTTTAAAGCTTCCCAAGTGGGTTCTGGGGAGAGAAAAAAGGCCCACATCTCCGCCCCGTCAATCCTGCTCCGCCCCGTCAAGCATGCCATAAAAGTCCACTAATTAGGGGTATGTCTTTTGAGGTCAGAGTGCATCTGCCTGGAGAAAGGAACCATAGTTCTGTATACAAATAAACCTGGATTTGTGCATGAAAACTCAAGTTTATGATCATCATTATTATGTAGCAGGTCCTTTGCAGAACGTCGCTCTCATTGCAGTCTGCCTGAAAGAAACTCGGTCTCTCGCCAGTTCTCCCGCCTCATGCACTTTCACTCTCAAGGAGTCACTTATATCCTGTGCCCATCTTCCTGTCGGTCGGCCCCTGCCCCTCCTTCCTGGTACCATGCCTTCTGCCATAATTTTTTTTAATCTGTCGTGGTGCTTGATATGACCAAAATATTTCAGCTTCCGAAACAGGATGCTGTTTATTAGCCAGTCTTCCTTGATGTTCAGTTCTTTCAAGATGTCAGTATTTCTCCTCTTCTTTGTCCAAGATATTCTTTGAAGATAAAAGATTCACTTATTCAAGATGTCCAAGTTTATGAACAAGACTAAAATCCGGAAGTGGGTTACCAACCAGAACTTTCGGCTGGAGTTTTACAGCCGATAAATGTGAAGAAGAAGAAGTTTTCTGAAGCTGTTAAAGAATCATATAAGAGTAAATTAATTTGTATGTTTCTTGATAAGCAAGTGTATTGTGGTTTTCTGCAGGAACATAATTACAGTTAGACAATTCTGAAATGATTTCCTCTAGACAGTGAATGAAAAAAACAAAAGAGTATTCTGTGTGTTTAAAAGTCAATAGCAAAGGACCCTTTTTAATCACCATGAGCATATAGGGCTAGACCTAGATTTTTTTGGCATTTGGTTAGGGATGTGGTCAGCCTTTACTTCCCAGGACTAAACTTGGTATCCATTTAAGACTAGGTCGACCTGGGAGCCAAGATCATATTTAAAAAAAAATCTAGTACCATCCGGATGTGAACCTACCACCTTCAGGTCTGCAGGTAAGCGTCTAGCTGCTTCACCACGTTAGTTCCCATTCTGTATAATTGGAAAAACATAAATGCCAGGGTACTTAATTTATAACTTACCCCTGACGTCACGACAACGTCACGGGAGACATTCCCAATAAATTCTAGGCTGTTCATGTTGTAGTTTTTCGTGATTTATCTACACCCAAGTTTAGGGTTAGGGTTCCCAAGGGGATTTCGTGTATGGGTTACGTTATAAATTAAGAACCAATGCCAGTCCAGATTGATACTTAATTTTTGTTTTTTTAAGGCGCTGGTGATTACATACTTCTTAGCTGTATGCTGGGTGTTGATAATTGCTATTCTGACGACGCCACTGGTCCTGATCGTCAACATTATCATCGTCAATCCTGACACGCTGGATCTAAAAAATTATGGTACAACCATTTTTTTATCTAGCAGAATATTCCTCTCATTATTATTTTAAGAAAAAGACATGATTCTGACACTGCGGGTGCTCTGGTAAAACAGGCAGTTGCGTTTGATTATTGTGGAATTCGTACTTCACTTATAAAGGATTCACTTATTTGCTTCATTTATGTAATTATTACTGTAGCATGCATCTGACCAGATACATCAAAATATGCCAGGCAGTAAATTGTGCAGTCTGTTGTTTGTGTCTTCTTTACTCAAATATACAGTGTAGCTCAGTTTAAGAAAATCAGAGAAAGCATATAATGTGTTTATAATCCTCCCATGGGTTTTGGGGCCCCATTGTGGGGTAACAACAAATAGACCTTCTGCCTTCCTAACAAGGGTGTCTAAGAGTCAACTAATTAGGAATGTTTCCTTCAAAGTTGCAGTTAATCTGCCTGAGAGGCAAAGAACCACAAGTCTGCATGCCAATAAGCCAGATTTGCAGAACAGATTTGCTTGTGAAACTCAAGTTCTGGAAAAGGCTAAATTCTAGAAGTTTAAAAAAACAAAAAAACTGGAACTTTCCACTGGAGTTTACAGCCGATTAACTCTGAGAAGAAAAAAAAGACATGTTCATCACATGGTTTAAAACAAAATCTTTACAGAAGTACATCATATGTGTTGACAGGGGAAGTATGAATTATCAGCAAAGGAATAGAAGATGAACAAAGAGATATAAAGCAGATTTTATTGAGTCACATTTGTCAAAAGCTAGAGGAAAGTGTCCCCATATAACCTCAAATTGAGGTGTATAAACTGACCTGGCGTACAAGCTGACCTCGGGATCTCTAGCTCAGAATTCTGAGTAAGATCTTTACCTTCCTGATGTATCTATACATGCCATATATGTCCACCCTTAGTTTTGGAGATAATTTTTTGAGGCTTGAAAACTTGACTTATGAGTCACCATTTTATAGTATTTAGGTAACGTATGAAAGCTTTTTTGAAGAATGTTGTATTAAAGTTAACAGTTTTTTTTGTTTTGGGTTATCGCTTTGTTAATGTAAACTAACTGGTAACATTTAATGGTGGAATATTGAAGGAATACAAAATGCACAGTTACAAAAAGAATAAGAAAACTGCTGGAAAGGAATAGTTTCAAACTAAAGTGACAATTTTAAAAGAAAGAAGTCGAGCTTGATACAACTAAATATTCTTGTATATATAATAACATTGAGCAAGCTTTTGCCTGAGCAGTAACCAATGTTTCATCTTCTTTTGATTCACACCTTCACATCAATTCCACTGATGATTTTCTTAAGAAATCCACCATCATTTCTCTTGGTCTGCCTCTGCCTCTTCTACCAATGATCTTCCCAGTGATATTTTCCAGTGCTCCTTTTCTCATCACATGACGAAAGAACTTTGTTCCTCTCCTTTTCATTGTTGTATATAATGTTCTACTTTCATTAGCCATTTCCAGGTTTCCAGACAATCTTTGTTAGTTATTCTGGCAGTCCAAGGTATTCACAACATTCTTCGCAAGAACCATATCTCAGTTGCCTCCAAACTCTTCCTAATTTATTTGCTCACAGCAGAACAGGCTCGATATAATATTTCTGTACTCTTTTTTTCTGAATTTAAATGAGAGTGATTTATTACATAACTTCAACTGCTCCAACATACTGAGAGAAGAAATACAATCTAGAATACAGCCTGGAAATAAAGTGTACTATGCCCTTCAACAAAGGGGTTAGTGTTGTGTTGTTCAGTTGATGTCGAGAAAGGCCCTGGCCGAAACATTGATATTTATTGTTTTGTGCATGTTTTTCTGCTTCCCCATTTCGTTAAGCTTTTTAGTCTCAGTTCACTTGATTAATTTCTTGGATCTAGCTTGACTACAGTCACTTCTATTTTTACTGTTTTTGTAGTAATGTTTGTTAACTCACAGCTTTTAAACAGGACACACACAAAACTGTCATTATTTATATACATCATAAACAAACTCAACAGGAAAGAACAAACATCAATTTTTAGACTTCGGACTGGACACTGTGGTCTTCGAGCACACCTGTACAGGATAGGCATAAAAGAATCTGCTGCCTGTAATTGTGGAGCAGAAAGACAGACCCCTGAGCACATACTGCAGTACTGCCCTTACCTCTCCCAGCAAAGACTGTGGATCTGGCCCAGGGGATCCACATTGCGAGAGAAGCTATGGGAGACCGGTGGCGACCTTAAACGCACAATCCTATTTGTGACCCAGACGGGACTCAATGTGTAGCATGACTGATGTCGAACGCAGAAGAAGAAGAAGAAGAAGAATTATTTATGGAGTAATCATTTTTTCATTTTATACAGGATTTCATGAGGATGTTTACACTGGCGCTGCACTCGAAGTATTCATGGAGGATGTGAGTTGTTTTAATGATTTGTTTAACATCATTCTGTAATGTGCAGTTATATTTCATTATAAAAGTTAGCAGCCTATCGTACGAGTATGTATATTCAGCAGGTGACAAATGATGGAGCATTCTCTAGATATAGAGGTTAGCTGCCAGTGGAGCATTCTCTAGATATAGAGGTTAGCTGCCAGTGGAGCATTCTCTAGATATAGAGGTTAGCTGTCAGTTAATAAGCAGCTGAGGACCAAAACAGATGATGCTCATTGAAAGGAGACGTTCCCCATGTGGGTTCCATGGCCCCATTGTGGAAGGAAACAAAAACGACCCAGTGCCTCCCCAACAAGCATGTCGTAAGAGTCGACTGATTGGGGGCTTCTTTTGAAGTCGGAGTGCACCTGCCTGTGAGGCCAGGAACCAACAGTCTGCAATCAAATAAGCCAAATCTGTAAAACAGATGTGCAGATAACACTCAGGTCTAGGTGGATGAACAACTAGAACTTTTTGCCATAGTTTACAGCCGATGAATGCTGGGAAGAAAAAAAATGTATATGTGTTAGTGGGTAGGACAGTTATTTCTCTAAAATACCTCAGAACCATGTCATGTTCATTGGTGGGTAAGGAGCATCATATGTAACATCTCCCTTCTTCAATCTGTCTTGCATGGTTGCCATATTTAGACAAAGGCTGTTGGAGCTGAGCCAGATGAAACCTTTATATATGTGCCATGTAAGCCATGCTTCTTGAAAAAAGTGGATTTACTTATTTTTATTTAATTTTACTCATAAGGTAAGGGGGCAAAAGTTATGGTATCTACATTCTCAGGATATTATTAGAAAGAGTTGTAGAAATAAAACTGATATGTATATCTTTCAGTTTTTCTAAACAACACAGAAGCATTTGGCATATGAGGACATAATCAAATGGCAACAACATCACCTCACCACTGATAGAGATAAAAATAGGAGTACGTCAGGGATGTGTGTTATCCCCAAGCCTTTCTAACCTATATACAGAAAACATTTTTAATCAGGTTGAGGAATTGCCTGGACTGAATATTAACAGAAGAACAATAAACAATTTGAGATACGTGGATGACACAGTTCTATTAGCAGAAAGCAAGCAGGGGTTACAAGAACTAGTTTATCAAGTCAACAGGCGGAGTGCAGAGTATGGTTTTGACATTAACATTCAAAAAACAAAAACTGTGGTAACTGACAATGGAAAAAGAGCAGTCACCTGTGAAAATCACAGTAAACGGAGAGCTGTTAAAACAAGTAACAAGTTTTTCCTGCCTAGGACACGTAGTAACAGATGATGGCAGAAGCGAAACCGAAATCAAAAAGAGAATAGGAATGGCTAAAATTGTCTTCAGTAAGATGCGCAAGTTAATGACAGCTATTTAGATAAACAACACACTAACAATGAGAATTCTGAAATGTTATGCTTCCTCAGTCTGACTATATGGTGCAGAAACTTGGACAATGAACAAGCAACTAGAAAATTTAATTGATTCTCTGGAGATGTGGGTATACAGAAAAATAGTTCATATTTCATGGAAACAAAAAGTCTGGTACAGAAGTTTTGGAATGGCCACAAATGAAAAAAGAATTACTGAAATAAATAAAAAAGAGATAGTTAAAATACTTTGGCCACATTGAAAGACATAATACACATACTGGAGAGAAAGATCGAAGGCAAGAGAGCAAGAGGTGGGCAACGATACAAGTGGGTGGACAAAATCAAGAAATGGACGGGCAGCAGTCAGAGAGTGTACAACCAGGACAAGGGATAGAGCATGTTATAGATCCATTGCAGCCAACCTTCATTGTGGAGATGGCACCTGATTGATTGATTGAATCAAACTGCAGCTACTGAAACAGTAAACTATCAATGGCAATGTTCTTAGGATAATAAATATCATATATTGGCAGCATGCAGCAACAGTAGGAATCAAAAACCATTTGGGAATATCCTAGTGTATAAAGGCTGATTGATTGAAATAAGAACCCATATAGCATTTTGAGAAAACCATTAGATGGTCCACTTTCCACAACTTCTTTTTCAGTGACCGTTTGCATCTGTTCCATCATGTGGCACAGACAGAATGGTTCTCTTGTGGTCTTTTGATTATCTCATAGTTTGTCTTGTAGTGTCGCCCCTGTAGACAGTCTTGTAAAAGATGCTCTGGTGTTTCTTTTTGGCACTGAATTCGCAGAACCCATTTGGTGTAGGTAATGCTTTCAATTCAATTCTGAACCTAAAAATTATGGTCTCAGCATTTGTGCTAGCCTATTATACTCTCATTATAGTGTTTATAATTTTTGATTTTTTTTCTTTCCAGTCCATGGTTATAGATTTTTGTAAGTGTTTTTGCTTCTTCGGGGAGTCGCCGCGGCTGAGCGGCTAGACGCTCGCCGCGGATTGGAAGGTCGTGGATTCGCTCCCTGGCTGAGCCGGACTTTTTTCAAAAATGACCTTGGCTCCCAGGTCGACCCAGCCTTGAGTGGGTACCGGGTGCAGTCCCGGGAAAGTGAGAGCGGCAGGCGTGATACTGACCACATCACCCATCTTGTGCCGATTAGTCTATAAAAATATAGGTCTAGCCCTATATGCCTTATACGCCTTAAGGCATGGAAAAGGGTCCTTTACTTACTACTTTACTTTTGCTTCTTGAAAGCTCTGAGATGAGTTTCCAAGCAGCCTTTGCAAGCTCGTCTTCCTTTTCATTCCATCACCCTTTAATTTTTGCAGAAATTCTGTTGACATGTCTGTGTTGGCTTTAATAGCCTCTTGCTGGGATATCATCTTAATCAGCAGCTTTTCCATCTTTCAGAAGGGGCAATAGCTAGTTTAATGTCTTCTTTAGATAGTATCTCATAGTTGAAATCCAGCACCACTTCTGCAGGCAGAATATCTGGGGTGTCTGTTGGACCCGATTTATTCTAAAACTCTTCACATTTTTCAGCCTGTGTGACCTTGGTAAGAACTTTTATACGACTGTTTTTTAGCAGTCCACTAGGTTGATAATTTGTTCTTTTAATTTAATTTAATTAATTCTGCCTCTTCAGCCAGGCCATCTAAATTATCCCTTTTAGCATTTTAACTTCTTTATTGGCTTATGTATATTTTTATAACTTTACGTAAGTAAGTAAGTAAAGGACCCTTTTCCACGCCTAAAGGCGTGTAGGGCTAGACCTATATTTTTTAAAGACCAATCAGCACAAGACGGGTGATGTGGTCAGCATAACGCCGACCGCCTTTAGTTTCCCGGGAAAGCACCAGGTACCCACTCAAGGCTGGGTCGACCTGGAAGCCAAGGTTTTATAACTTTAGCAGCATATATTGTGTTGTTAGTTTTGTCTAAAAAACAGCACATTGAGAGCCTTCTGGGTGGATATAATGATGTGAACATGTATTTTGTGGTCACTAGTCACCAGTCAGACATTCCCTAGTGCGTTTTAGGCTTCTAAAACTGTCACTACTGTCTGTTTTACCACTTTTTAGGGCAGTGTAGACAGGACGGCCTTTAGTCTGAGAATTTAGGGCCGCCTGGCAATGGCTGTCAACACCGACTTTGCAGGTTAGAATGTTTAATTTTGCTCATGACAGACAAACTCCATCACTTTATCAGGGGTCAAATCTGGGTCTCCTGCATGTGAGCTCGATGTTGTAACCGCATAAAGTTGAATAAGAATTTAATGTACATATAACTATAATTTAGTAAACAACCTTCCTATCAAATTACTGGGTTATAATTGTACACATTTCGATGACAAGACTACAATTACACAGTGTAATTTACATTTGTATTTGACCGATTCTACTATTGATATAATATTTATTATTGTAAATGATGAATTGTGAAGGTATATAAAAAGTCACCTCTTCAGTTAAATACATTTGGAGCTAACTAGTGATAGTAAGAAAGGTACAGGACCCTTTTCCACACCTTCAGGCATATTAGGCATATAGGGCTAGACCTATATTTTATAGACCAAATGGCACTTTGTGGGTGATATGGCCGCCTTTACTTCTCAGGACTGTACCTTGGAGCTAAGGTCATTAAAAAACAAAACTCATGACCTTCCGATTCGCGGGCGAGTGTCTAGCCGCCATACTACGGTGGCTCCCAACTGGTGATAGTAATAATTTATAAATTTAACATCAAAAAAAAAATTGACATGTATGCATGTTCAGGAACAAATACTTCTCCAACAACTTTCAGCATAAGGGAACATTAAACATTAGTTTAAAATGTTTTTTGTTTGTTTGACTCAATAGGCCAAAGATCTTCTCATTTGTTATGCAGTGGCATTATTTGCAGCAGTAATAATTGTGAACAGCTTGGTAAGTGCTTGTCTTTAGATTGTTAAGTGGGAGTCAATTTTTAGTCTTTTAGTCTGAATTATATACAGCTTTCATAATTTAATTGATGTATGACAAGCTAGATTTAGTCAAGATTTTTTGGGAGCCAGCGAACAATGCAGATGCGCATATAGATCATTACAGTTTGGAGAGAATGATGCTGCGGGGAGTTACACTCAACACTCAGAGGGAAAGCAAGTCTGTAGAAAGTCATGACCTCAGCACCGGTTTCTGGAATAACTTAATGATTATGTCCCTTCAGACATGTTTCCAGTTGCACACTTCTGTTATAAAAATCTGCAGCCCCTAGTTACATTACAGCATAAATGATGTTAGGCTTGTAGTGCTGATATGATTGAGATGTCCATTCAGCTATTTCCACATTCATAGACATTCTTGGTACACGTTCTGGTCATACTCTAGCTGCTCCTAAAGCTACATTCATAAATGTCATAGACAAAATATACAAATTTGCAGGATATTAGGAGCATCTCTTGGCAGTGGTGAAATGTCACAAGCTAGCTTGTTTCCGGCACTTGGTGAGACATGATTTGATTACAAGACTGTACTTTAAGGAACATTTAGGAGGGGGGGGGGGGGGGGTGGTACTCGAAGAAGAGTTGAACAAAAAAGAATCTAGAATGACAACATCAAGAAATGGACAGGACTAATTTATCATACACTTGTTCATCAAGTGGAAGACAAAGAAAGATGGTGGGTTTTGTGTATAAGAGCTTCCATCGATACATCTCCATGACCCTGATGGGTCAAGGGTTATGTTATACTACTAGGGGTTTAATCCTAGGCCACTGTCTTGGTTGCAAAGGTACTATTCCATTATGTTCAGCAGGAAAACTGATAATGATGCGAATGTTGATGGTAAAAGGTAAGTTAAAAAGTTAGTTGCGAATCCTTTACAGGACGTTGCAGAACCCACCCCAGCATTTTTGGGCTGTTGTGGTTTTTCAAGGCAAATTTTACGTTCACTAGCAAAAAAGGTTAGTAAAGGACCCATTTACATGTCCTCAGATAAATTGGGCATATACGGCTAGACCTTTATTTTATAGACAAATCAACACTTGGCCAGTGAGGTGATCCGCATCTTGCCACCCCCCTTTACTTCCCAGGACTTCACCTGGTACCCATTTAATGTTGGGTCGACCTGGGAGCCAAGATAACTATTTTTAATGGTGATGGTGCTTGGAGTAAAATTATTCTCAACATGATTGTTATAATTTTACCTTTACCATGGATGTGGCTGACTGTATTTGTTTCCCCCCAACAGATTTGCTTTATTGTATGCATCTCAGCCAACATCACACACCTCAAGGACAACCGATTTTCCACACTGAATGCATACGAAGAAGAGGAGGTTCGAAATTCAAAGCATTCGATGCTTGACACTGATATGTGAAATTGAGTGATTACTGAGACCATCATTTGTCAGTGAATTAATTATATACAGCAAAATGAGGCCTAATTGTTTGAGGCAGCTTTTAGTCAAAGCTGCTTTTTAATTTTTTTCAAATATGACCAACTATGAGATATTTTTTCTCAGTAGGTTTGATTTCTAATGGGAACATGATACAAGAATCTCACACTGTTTAATGACAAATAATTGTACGGTAATGTGGTAATGTACACTCTCACATATAGCTTGGACATAACAATCAGATACCAGCTCTTGTTCTTCATGCCAGTGATATTTGTAACGGAGAGCTGCCTCAGCTGGCAGTTTTGTTAAGTTAGAAGAGCAGGTAGAGAGGGGTTAGGCATTTGGCCGGACACATCGAGCCACTCTATTTCTAATTCCTGAATGATAATCAGATGGAGGATCTGTTGTCTCATCGTCAATTCGTGAAGCCTCTAGAAGGCTAACTGTAGCATAGTGTATTGTCCAAATTGGCAAGGAGCAAATAAACAAAACCTATAAAAATGAAATAAATGTTTTTTTCATCAAAATATGTTTTTAAAACTTGATTCAGGAGGTAAAAATAATAATTTTAAAATTTTGAAATAGAAAACAATGTGAATTATTAACATGATATTAATATTTTAAAAGTTTTTAGTGTTTATTTATACAAGATTTTTAAATTTTGTTGTTTTAGTATTATAAATATAACTGGTAAAAATATATTGCTTGTCTGATAGGTGTTTTCACCAAAATAGTGGCACATTTTCTTGTATTTGTGTGTAATTATACACAAGGTTATCTATTTTTTCTATCTGTATTTGTTTAACAAATGAATGGAATTACGTCTGAGTTTATATAAATGTAAATGCCTGATTTGTTGTGACACAAAATGATTACACCTTCATCTAAGCGAGACAAGACCACACGAAAAGCAAAAAAATTTTGTAATACTCTTTCAAACTATTAAAAAAAAAAAAAACCAACCTTGATATGTCCAACATTCTTTGATTGTACAAAACTAATTTTGTCTAAACTTAAACATCAAGAATTTTTATTTGTGTTTGTCAAGCAGGAAAGGTTAATTGTAATTGCATTTTGCTTAAAATATACAGATAAAGACTTAAATGTTACACACTTTGAATACTCTGGCACTATAATTAATAAAAATGGAGACTGTTCACCAGAGGTCAGGTGGAAAACTGGCTGTAGCAAAGTAGAGGTTAAACAGCATGGAAAACTTTAAGAAATTGATTTCACTGAGCAATGACTGTGAAGTTCAAGAAAGAGAAAAGGGGAAAGTCACTTGTAGAAATATTCAAACATTTCAGCCTGAGCCTTTTTGGGATCAGACACCACAACAAGAAAAGCAATCCTAGACACCAGTCTACACACAGGCAAGTCACATGAACCACGTCAGCGATGGGGTTGCCCATCAGCTCTCTGATAGATGACTTTGTCGCCAGTTAGGACGACAGTATTTGAGTCTGTCTCCTTTGATCGCAACAACACTGCAGGAGTCCTCTTGGTGGCGTGTAGCACAGATAACCTAGTCACAATTATAACCTAAAGCTCCCTCATTGGGAATTTTAGTTGAATATGACAATTATTTTCCAGCAAAGCAAAAAAAAAAAAGGTCACATGAACAACTACCGGAATAGGAAAAATAAAATTAAGATCAGGGAAAGATGTGTATGGTTTTTGTCTTTCTCCTTTTGTTGAGCCTTGTAGCCATTGATCAGTGAAGTAATTTTGTCACTAGCTGGATTGTTCACTTTTGATGAACTTTAAGGCTTAACACCAGGAAATCAACAACTGTCAGCAATTTAAGATCACCCATTTTTCTTGTGGCAATCTTAAATTGTTTTGACAAACACTGAAAGTGAAAACTGATAATTTTTAATTTAAATGGTATGTAACAATTCTAGAAAACTAAGGATCACAGTGAAAACAAAATACAAGCAAATTATATGGATTGAATTTGACAAAGAAGACAGAAACATGCTTGGCTCATTAAAAGTGTTATGACCCTCACGCAAATACTTTAAGCACATATTGTCATGGCTGTTTACAAAGAATTGTAATGGAAGGCATAGTCTTGAAAGATGAGGCGAAACTTGCCAATAGGGCCTAGTGGACCCAAGGATGAAAAATACACAAGGCAGTGGAACAGTTGACGGATCAAGAATTTTCGGTCGACTTTGGTAATGTATTGAAATGGACTTGCTCTAAGATGATAAAATGATACAACAGATTAATGTTAAATTAGTTTAACGGCATATGTGTCATTTTGTAAAATAGTAAGTACTACAGATGTTTTTTTTTTTTTTTACATCAATGAGTTGTTTGTTTCTTTATTGTGATCTTGTTTATTTTTTATATGGTAACTATAACATGGTGCTCAGTCCTCAGACATCAGTTTTGTGAAAAATATATTTCTGAACATTTTAACCATCGTTGTTATCATGGAGACAGCATATTCTGGAAACTCTTTGTGCACTTTTCATTTACTTACAGGCACACACGCAAGATCTGTAATCACTTATCCTAAGGTTTGCCTTATGTTTGTAGTAGTGGTTCCCTGTCTGTGTTGGACTGCCATCTCCTTGCCACCTTCTTGGTGCCTCCACACATACAGACCAATTTTCTTAGTATTAAGTTTACCATACATTTAATACTTCACTATAATGACCTCTTAATTCTCTCTATCAGGGAAATTAGCCTTGAGTGGGTACCGGGTGCAGTCCCGGAAAGTAGAGGCGGCCGGCGTGATGCTGACCACATCACCCTTCTTGTGCCGATTGGTCTATGAAAATATAGGTCTAGCCCTATATGCCCTATACGCCTAAAGGCCTGGAAAAGGGTCCTTTACTTTTTTGTGTCAGGAAAATTATGGAGCTCCAATCCACTTTTGGGGTGACCAGTGTAGGGTGTCAGGTGGGTTTTGTAAACATTTCAATCATTTTGGATACAGAATATGTATTCTTTATAGATAATATGAAGCATCAGACTAGCAAGGAGACGTTGTTATGCAGTGGCTAGCTTGTATGTGTGCTGACCTGATGGATGTATGTTCAGATCCATATTGTGGGACATTTAACCTGATTTCAGGTCACGCCCTTTTTGAGTACATAGCAAGACCTCGACACACACCCCCCTCCCACCCACATAACAATATGGGATTAAAAAGAGGACACAAAGACAAATCCCAAGCACTGTCAACAAGAACTTGGAGAAAAACATCCACAGAAATCAAAGTGTCTGATAACAAGAGAAACAATCGCCCATAAATTGGTTGTCAAGTGTCTAAATATCAATGTGATGGTTGACACTGCTTTGTTTCCGTGATATCTGCTATTTTTGATCTGTTGTTGGACAAGGCACAACCAGGTTCACTCTCCACATCAAGCTGGCAGTGCTGTTAAAGCTGAAAATCTGGACTGTCACAAATACAAATGCACTGAGTTTCAAAATGGCGGGTCCCCCTACTCCCCTTTTCCAGATTAGAGTGAAATTATGTTTTATCTATTGCAATATGAACATGTAACAAGTGCTTACAAAATTGACGAAAATATACAGCTACTGAAAAGTACAGATATGTAGGCTGTCGTAGCGTTGGAAGTTGCAGTGTGAGGTTTGAGGCTGGCTGCTGAAAACGTATAATGAAAATGTCTTCACGTCTAATGAAAGCAAGTCTAAGAAACAGTTACATCACTGAGACATGGGAGACCATCAGGTTAAGATGTGATCGTAGTTGAAAACTATTGCTGAAGACAATAGTGACATGATCAGGTGACTTCAGCATGTGCCTTGGAACTGACACCTGATGATGTTGGTGGTGTTAGACTACAGATACATGAAGGTTTGATACTAACACGGAAAAACACAGAAGCTGGTGTAATATCAGTTTATGCCATTTCTCACATACTGTATATTTCATTCCATGCAGGGCTGTGGGGTTGATGCAGTGGTGTGAGTACTAGAAATATTTCATGTTTTCTGCCATTGTCCCTCACACAGTGACATAAATGATCATCAGTTACAGAAAAGATGTCTCAGATGCCTGTGGGAGTGATCATAATCAAAATGAAGGCCATTAGAGAAACACGTCGACCTAGAACCAGCATTGAATTTTTGTCGTTGCAGCAAATAAAGTGGTTTGCCTACTGAAGAGAAGATGCTCGTAATGCCATATCTTTCAAGGCGTATACCTTTTTCTTTGTTCACCAGGTGTAAGCTCCAGCGGAAAGTCCTGGTCTGTTCATCGATATGGAGTTTGGTTTTGTGCCAGGGCCTGAGTTTTATGCGTACATCCGTTTCACTGGCTTATTTATGTGCAGTTGGTTGTTTCTTGCCACTCGGGCAGATGCAGTCCGACTTTGAAGGAATCCCCCAATTAGTCGACTACTATGACATGGGGAGGCAGTGGTCTGTCTACTCTTGTTTTTCCCCACAATGGCGCCCCGGAACCCACATGGGGAAAGGCATATACCAACAGAGCAAAATGAAATAGATCAAGAGGTAGACCAAGAAAAATGCAAAGATAACATCAGAGAAATTCTACAACAGTATCAAGTGTCTTTGGCTGAGGCAGTCAGAATAGTGAGAGCCAGAACCGTGAATTTCCCAGACACTCAAAGAGTGTCATGTAAGAGAAAGTGAAGATGAAGAAATGTTTCTTGAACTGAAAGATGGTAAGAAGGCAGCTGCACCTTATAATGATGCTGCATCTCTTGACACCACAGCGGCAGTATCTACTGCCTTTTTGTACAATCCCAACAACTGAACCAGTGAATTGGCACCATGATGTCTGCATCTGATCATCAGTTTCAGCAAACATCATCAATGATTACCTCCTCGTCTTTGCTACAGAAAGTTAACTATAGCAACAATCATTTCAGCATATGTTTACACAAAGTTCTTGTTTGCAGTACCAATTGCAATATGCTAATGAGAATTCAGTTTTTATATTATTTACAAAATATTTTCCCTTTTATTACTGT